TATGGATAGGTAGATCATAATACTTCTTCTTTTAGACTACGCTGGTCCCTAGGGTTCGAGCACTTTCCAAAAATCCCCATTATTTCTTTCTATTGTAAACTTTCCTAAATTACCTCCTTTAGCATCCAACCGCCTCTATCGAGCCTCGATGTTTTCATCTCTTAAAACTCATGAACTTTATTGGGTCTTCTCAATCTCATTAATTTTATTTTAGAATACATTATGCTTCCTACTACACATGAATATTAAGTTGATAAGACTTAATATTTATGTAATGATAGAAGGAACCTACAAGAGATTTTCTAAGACTTCATCCTTTACTTGACACTAATTACCCTTGGCTATGTCATGAAGTGACCTACTCAGTGCCAAAAATGTAACACCATTACATGTCTAGAATAACAATTACACTATTAACTTTTGGTATAGGATAGATCAATGTATAAGTTTGAAATTCGATCAAATTAAATTTTTACAATACAATAAGTCTAACTGATAGATTATTCATCTGATATAAAACTTTAACACAATAGAAATATGCTCCATTAAGTCTTCAATACCAAGTCCTCAGTTGCAAATTCAATCCAAACACCTGTTTATATATGAAATTAATATAACAACATGGAATGAGATACTAATTTTAGTGGGTTTCTAATCTAAACCATTGAACCACTCACTACCTTTATACCCGATTAAAGGCACAAGTTGTATAATCCATTAGGGTAACTCATATATAGGGCTGGAAATGAACTGAACCAAATCGAATATAGTTCGAAGTTTGATTCAACAACTAGATCGTTGAACTTGGTTTATGAACCATATGAGTTAAATATGAGTGAAAAACGAATTTCATTAATTAAATAAGTTGAACTTGAACTATGTATAGTTAGACTTGTTAGATTTATGAGTCAACTCGATTATATATATATATATATATATATATATATATATATATATATATATATATATATATATATATATATATATATATATATATATATATATATATATATATATATATATATATATATATATATATATATATATATATATATATATATATATATATATATATATATATATATATATATATATATATATATATATATATATATATATATATATATATATATATATATATATATATATATATATATATATAGACACACACACACACACACACACTCAAAGAGTAGGTTTTAAAGACTTATTATAAATCTTAGTCCTCTATTTTCTTCCAATCTTATAACTTTTATTTTTTATTTTAAAAAAATATATTAATTTAAAATGTCAAATATATATAAAAATAGATTTTAAAAAAATGACTTATAAGTTCGTGAAGCAAACAAGCAAAACCTAATGAGATGAAACTAACGATTTGAATCGAGTTGTTCATTAACTTAAAATGAGCCAAGTTTGAACTTAAACAAATTTTGTGTCAAACTAGAGTTGAGTTTTAAGCTGAACTAGTTCTTAACGTGTGGAGCCTGGCTGGGGTGAGTTCAACTCGAATAATTTCCATCATACTCACATAACCCAAACCCATCTACCAGATTACTCACTTATCGTCCATAAAATCTAAAGAGACATTAACTCGTCTGCTAGATTAATCACTAATCGTCCATAAAATCTTAAGAGACATCAAAAATCATATAAACCCTAGGTGGCCCACCTGGGTCACGACCCCCTGGGATCATTCCCATAAGCATAGCCTCAGGATTGTCTATCCTATTAAAGCTCACATAATTTACACCCTGCATAATCCCCTACATTTGAGTATAGAAGCAAAAGTGCAACTATCCTCTATAGCTCGTACGCCATGGTCTATACAAGTAGTACTCAAATATCAAGTGTGACATACATATCATTGACTATCTAATAATAACTTATGATATTATGGTCCCGAGCATACATAAGCGTATCATTGGAGTTATATGTTATTACCAGAATGACTCACTTCCATTCAAGTTTAACTCAGCAACACACATCTTAAGATCGACAATATAATACTCATGAACTTGACTTGACTACATAATAACCACCATACCCACCAATTTTAGTCTCAGAATAAGATCCATATTCCTCTTCTGGCTTGACCAGGATAACTCAACATACCCTACACTGAATTACTAAGATAAGTACCATATCTTGTAATGGTTACCAAGATAATTCAACATGCCCTGAAATTTGTCATGGGATAACATTATATCCACATGACCAGAATACCAGGATAAGATCTATATCCTCCCATGAATAATTTGATATCCATCATCTAGGAATATCAAAATAATCACATATTCCTCTATTGGGGATCGTTGGGATACATCGTGTATTCTCTAAATAACCTATTGGGATAAATCAAATATCCTTCAGTAAGTCACTAAGATAATAGCACACCCTCCAATTGGATTTACATAACACATTGCATGTCTGTGATTATAATCCACAGTTGCATAGGACATCTCCATGCATTCACGTTGAGATATCAAATGTCATCTTACAAATGTTACTCCATTGTCATATTTATACATATACTCCAACTCTGTCGGTAGTTGTATTTCCAAGGTGTCGGACATTATCAGTCCACGCACAAACTATCTTCTCCTTCACCTGATCAAGAATTGTGCTTTCGACATTAACAAAGCATGATATTTTTCACACACTTTCTGGAAATGAATGACGAAATCAACATATAGTTCTTTTATGAAATAATTTTATACGATTCCATGCATCCATCATTTTTTCCACAATCACACCCGACTTCACCAATTTTCCACCTTCGCACTATACTTGTTTCATCCCTACCGCGGGTTTAACCCGACTTCTCACATTCTTTGTTATGTAATACTTATAAATTAATGCATAATAAGAAGGAAATACATTCGCAACCAAATTCATCAATGCGGTATCGCGGTCGGTAACAATAACTTTAGGCATCTCACCTTGATCCTTCAAATGTGACCAACACACCTTTAATGCCCAAATAAAATTGTTCTCTTTTTCACACTCTAGAAATGCAAAACCAACAAAGCATGTCTTTTTAGTTGAGGTAACACCAACAATCTAAAATAATGAAAATCTATACTTATTGGTCTTGTAGGTAGAATCAAGTATGAGCACTGTCAGAAACATGTTGAACAACTTTGCCGAATCAGGATGAGTCCAAAAAATATCTCTAACAATAACTCCATTATTGTAAGTTCGGTACCGGGACACGTAACTGTTATCGTCCAACAACTTCAACAGTTTTTGCATCTCAGTTCTACCCCCTAATCGCCTTGTTAGTGAGGTACCAAATGTTATACACTTGTTTGATATTTGATATATTGTCGGGTTGCTTCTATTTCAATGTTGCAAGTATATTTTTCGGTTGAACAAGATTCAAGGTCATGTCACTAATACATTCCTTCTCTTCTGGCTTGAGCCGACACACACTAGGATGATCAGCTAATTTTAAGCACAAACCATGGTTATGCAAACCACGAATAACATTAAATCTCCATTTTTTATTAGCCAACATGTAACCACGAATAACATTAAATCTCCATTTTTTATTAGCCAACATGTAACCACGAAGCTTGAATGGGCACTCACATTTTTTACTACCTGTGTCATCTCTTTTCAAACTTCATATAAGAGTTAGATAGCTCTGGCTTCTTTTGCACAACATTGTCACAAATGCGCATCTTCTATCCGAGCCATTATCCGGCCCTTCTAATAACCACACCAAATCCAAGTTTAGATGCCACCATACGAATCCATTCGAGCATGTTATCACGATTTTCAAACTCTTGTTTGTTATTAAAGTTGTTGCCAGCATCTACCGCATTTACGACAACCCCTTGAACATTAAGAGAAACTACTTGTTTTGAGAAATTATCGAGGTGCACCATATCTATTGGAATCAATACAAACAATAACAATAATTAATCTACTGATGTAGAAAAGGCTAAAAAATAAACACAAAATTATTCCGGAAATGTATCTCCGAAAAAGTTCAACCTCAAAGACGTTCCGGAGATACATCTTTGGACACTGCATACCTTTTTTCAACCAAACTTTCATGATTAATGTGAGCAACATAGATGAAAATGAATAATCTTTACCTGAAATTCTATCTTCTTTTTCTCCCTGTGATATATTGAACCAAAAGGGTTTAAGTTGAAAATGAAGTATGCCAACAATGAGGGACTGATCATGCAGTTGGTAGCTATATCAGATATTTCCGGAGATACATCTCAAAAAAAAAACCTAACATGCAAAGGTGACCGAACATTCAAATTACAACCCACAAATTTCGGAGATATATCTCCGAAATATTTACTGAGCTGAACAATTTAAGTGTTTTCTCCAAACCATTCCAGAGATATATCTCCGAAATAAAATTTTAACAAATCTACGAACGACTCTCAGAATGATCTTTATTAGATGAGCAAATGATATGTCCGAAGATACATCTCTAAAAACTGAAGGCATAATAAAAAAAATTCACACGGTGTCTAAGAAATACATAAAGTAAAATAAAATTCAGTTTTTTCAATTATGAACATCAAAAACAAAGCCAACTAATAGGAAGTGTAAACCCAAAAATAATTTTTTAATATATTGGGCCTTAATCCTTTCTTTATATGATCCAGTATATCTTTTGATAAAGAAAAAACTCAAAAGGGGAGTGTAGAAAGACTTGGTTTTACTTTAGCCACTTGTCAAACTCACAACCTCATGAATTAAGGATATGAACCTCCAACTTGCCATAATTTTCCATTTTCCATCTAATATGAAAAATTATAGGTACCAAAAAAAAAAAAGAAACAATCAAGATAATGCACTTGTGGAGGACTCGTGCTATAAAGTCCCATGTCACCATTCAAAACACAATCCAACGGTTCAAATTCACTTGTAAGATCCAGCCACAAAGACATATATTAATATTATCATCAAACTCACCAAAAAGTACCATAGATTCTCTACCTCAGTTCCAAATTCTCAAAGATCCAAAAATGGCTTCAACAATCATGTCATTCACTCCATCAACCACTAGATTGTTTGCAACAACTGCAGCAAAGGGAACAGGTGGTGGTAGTAGTAGCAAACAAGAGAAAGGTTTTCTGGATTGGATTCTTGGAGGAATGCAGAAGGAAGACCAGTTGCTAGAGACTGATCCTATTCTCAAGAAGGTGGAAGAGAAGAGTGCAGGAACCACTAGCAATGGTCGCAAGAACACTGTGGCCGTGCCACAAAAGAAAAAGGGTGGTGGTTTTGGAGGCTTGTTTGCCAAGAACTGAAACAATTCATTTGTTTCAAATTTTTTACATGTTTCAAATGCATCCAATGTTGTTGTATAAGTATTTTCCACTTAGCTTTCTATATCTTGACCTTATGAATATATATATTTTATCTTGTTAATTAATTATGCTTGATCTTGTCTCATGTTGTATTTACATTTTACATAACAAAATCTATTCATTTTGGATCAGTTACTATTTATCAACAAGGTATAATCTGTTGATTTTAAAATTGGATAATTATTGTCATTGATCAAATAGACAAGATCCAATGTTTTTCATTGATTAAATAGCATGTTTGGATTGACGGTAAATTTGACAGAATCACAGTAGACTACGGCAATTTCAAAGCTAAGCCTGGTCCTTGTGATTTTGTCAAACTCTTCGCAAATTCAAACATACACTAATTGGACTCAAGATACCTTTAGCAAAATTGCCAGTTTGAAACCATTCAAATGTGATGCTAATTTGCTTAGGGTATGAAACTATGAATTCGTTGCATCAGTATGTAATGTAGGGTTAGGTTGCTCGTTAATTACTTGCAAATTGTTGAGTCTCAAATCTTACACTTCAAATAGAATAAGTATGTGTTTGTCTAAGGAACTTGATCTGTGGTGGAATGAGAAAAAGGAGGTATTAGAAGAACGAGCTATTTCGGTGCGAATTCAAGAGCTTCTAGCATGGTGGAGCAGGAAGGATTTGAAAGGTTAGCATTCTAACGCCTACCTCAGTAAAGTTAGAGAAATATAGTTTGAGAGTGAGATGATATACGCGGTGCATGGTAGGGTTTATATATGACATGCGGGTTAAACAAACAACCTCTGTCTAACCTGACGTGTGATGCGGAGAATTGTGCGATCAGATTCAATGTTATGCGATGTTTGGTGACTAGGATCAAGTGCTCGGCTTTTAGACAAAGTTTCACCTGATCATCCATTATACTTAGTGAAGCTCTAGATTGAGCCTTCGTAATTGAGTCTGCCGCATTGGATTTGTGGCTGGTCCTAGGCAAATTTGATGGACTAAATTGACTGACACACACATTTTCAAGGACTAAAATGTTGATTTCATATATTATGTTTGTATTGCTCTCTTACATAGCACACATATATTACAAATTGAACACAATAACCTTCTGGTGTCACACCATTGTTATTCAGTAAACCTGATATCACATGCAAGAGGATAATAGACACTATATATCATATATTGTAGCAAGCACACATGAATGGTTCAGTTTCTATGAATCAAACTTTCTAACAGCAAAACGCGTAAAATCATCTTGAGGTGTAATGGTTAAAGAATTTGATCTAGAAAAGGTGGATTGGATATGGAAGAATTCAATGCAATCCTCAACAGCAGCTGTCCTAAAATAATCAGCTGAGACACCTATGGTCTTTGATCTTCCCATGGAAGCCGAAACTCGGTTCGAAGATCTTCTCATAGATGAAAAACACATAGCTTTTGTTACTCTTTCAGCAACGCCTTTCAGAAACTCAATAGGGGAAAATTCAGACATCCAAGGAATCCTTACTATGCAGCATTTTACATGCAAGTTTCTAGCTGCTCTCTTCTTGATGTTCCTTTTCCATGACATGTTTGTTTTCTCATAGAAATAGGTTGTGACATTCATTGTGTTTTTCTTTTTGTATAGTGACAGTGTTATATACAAAAGTTGAAGTAAAAGCATTAGAGAATCTTGTTGTCATGTTATGTTGTAAAAGATGAAAGGAATTGTAGTAGGTAAGACCCAACAATAGTTGTTGGAATGGTTGGAAATATGGAATGAGGAAGGTTCTAATTTAGTTAGTAAAGTTGATAAATATTATTTTGCTATACAATGAGATATAGGTGATTGGGAAATTTAAGTGACTAGTTTTCTTAAGAAATTTAGATCATGGTAATTTAAACATAAATTTAATAGAATATAAAAACTATTATGATTTATATTTTAAAATTTCAAAAGAGATATATGTGCCGATTCGGAAAAAATATGGACTATTTTTATTTTCACATATACTTACAATTTCGATAGCTAATTTTTCTATTCAATAAATGAAAACATTTTCATGGTTGAGAATTGTTTATAACTGTTTCAGACGGACAAAATGATTTTACATTGTTTGAAAATTGAAGTAAAGAAATTTATATATAACACTCGTACACTTCAACTCAACAAACACTTGTTTTAAAAGACAAAGCCGTGAAAATTCTTACACTCAAAGCTGACAAAATCTCGTAACTACAATGACACAAGCTTGAAGTCGACCAAAACATTGACCTTGTCTGTTATAACTCAAAGTTCCCATTGTGCCCTTTAGCCTCGACTGGAGGGCAACTGTTACGAGCTGACTAGAATAGTTCCGCATTACTTGAAAATCGAGATTAAGGATAGTTTATATATAACATTCATACATCTCAATCTAACGAAACGTCTTTTCTAAAGGACAAAGTTATAAGAGTTCTCACATCCATAACGGACGATACCTCGTCCAGAACAAACTTATATTAAGGGAGAGAAACTATATGTAATATCCATTAGGCCCTTAATTAGGAAACAAGTATGTGAGTTTGTTTCTTGAGAGATTTTATTTGTCATGTAAAAGGTGTACAAAAGGTACAAAGACTAGTGCCAAATAGGTGGGTTAAGGATGGTGAGAAATGATGAATATGCAATGGGGGAAAAGGAAACACAAACAAGCAGAGAAACTTGTTCTCTAAGTTCCTATTTCTGCTGCCTATTGACTATGTAGAGAACACTTTCATGTTTACTTTATTCATCTAATATACTCCATTCATCTGATATTACACATTTAAAATAAGCTACTCACCCTTCATTGGATGAAGGCAAACAATGAACTTCGCAGCGTATCAGATCTAATATCTGCATCATAAGCTGCAAAGCTCAGATTTAACTGGAAAGATGCAGAGGTATAAAGCTGCAGGACTCTCAGCCCCTCCAACTACACCTCAACGGCTCAACCGTTGGATTAACCTAACGATGCAGATATGATACTCTCGGCTTTTAACCAAAAATATAACATTGGATATATTTTGTTTGACATACAGGATTAAGATGATATGTTTACTTACACTCAGAAAGTTTCATCAGTGAAAACTTCATCTTTCACGGTTATGAGAGGATTAGTATATTTTAAGATTTATCATGAGATCTTCATTCTATATATCAACAAAAGGAAACTAAGAATATAGATCATGTAGCATGTTCTTCCAGTTCAGCTACATTCCCACCGTAAATAACCGGCATGAACGACATGGCATGAACAACATGCTGTAGCCGCCTCCACAACTAGTATATAACGCAAATTTCCTGCAGAAATATAACAAAAAAGAAAAAAATAATGCACGCTCCCTACGCAGGCTTCACCCTGATCAGGTTCGAAGGGACTATCTCAGCCTGAACTGCTAGCGTGCTAGCTTAGTAGCTAGAGCTCATGCAGATACAGGCACCCCTGGTGCATCTCGGGTGTTAATAACAGCCAAAAAGATAAACAAGGTACCAAACATTTTGGTAATAATGCAATTTATTGCTAAGAATTGGATAACACAACAGAAGTAGAATAAAAGATGAAGTTCTTAAATGTTGTTCACAAACTATTATTCTATAACTTTAAAATGAAAAGACTTCACTATCCTTTCAAGTAAGTTGTGTAGTAGCTATCTCCAAGTTCTCATATGATTTTTCCATTTATATAGCCCTGCAAAAAAAAAACATGGATTAATAATGTTGATTATGATTCATATAAGTTTTCTTATTATAATCTTTATATACTTGATTTAGAACTTGTCTTTTTAATATATATTGAGTGAAAATGAACAGCTTATAAAAAATAATTATACAATATACTGAGCTTCCTTACCCTTCCTTAGAACTTATGTAAGATTCTGGCAAGTAAATCTCTCCACCAGCTTCACCATGTTGTTCTCCGCTGATAGTTTTCTTCGCAGCTAGAAATTCAGCACTCATAGCATTCATCCCTTCTTTCAAAGCTTCCTCGACATCCCCATATCCATGTTTCTCAGCATACTTTCTCACATCCTCGGTTATCTTCATAGAGCAGAATTTAGGGCCACACATTGAGCAGAAATGAGCCACCTTCGCACCATCTGCTGGCAACGTTTCATCGTGGAAGGACATGGCTGTCATTGGATCCAAAGACAAAGCAAACTGGTCCATCCATCGGAATTCAAATCTCGCCTTGCTTAATGCATCGTCCCATTCTTGAGCATGTGGGTGTTGTTTGGCTAAATCGGCAGCATGAGCAGCTATCTTGTAAGCTATAACTCCAGCCTTCACGTCATCTCGGTTTGGCAACCCGAGATGTTCTTTTGGTGTCACGTAACAGAGAAGAGCCGTACCAAGTGCACCGATATTTGCAGCACCAATAGCAGAGGTGATGTGATCGTAACCGGGGGCAATATCAGTTGTTAAAGGGCCAAGAGTGTAGAAAGGTGCTTCATTACACCATTCCAATTGTTTTTGCATGTTTTCAGGAATCTTGTGCATTGGAACATGTCCAGGTCCTTCATTCATCACCTGTAAAAGAACTCAAAGTAAACAAATAGTGACTAACACAAAATTGAAGTTGAGGCAAAATTATTTTATATCGCCAAAATTTAACAATACTAAGCTATGAAGAAAGTTTAGTTATATATATCACCTGTACATCCTTTTCCCATGCTCTACGAGTCAGTTCACCTTGTGTCAAAAGCTCGGCAAATTGAGCTGTGTCATTTGCATCATAAATGGATCCAGGTCTTAATCCATCACCAATGGACAAAGCCACGTCATACTGATTGCAGATGTCAAGTATGTCATCCCAGTGCTCATAAGCGAAATTCTCTTTGTGATAAGCTAAGCACCACTTTGCATGAATCGATCCTCCTCTGGAAACTATTCCGGTCATGCGCTTTGCAGTTAAAGGAATGTACCTAAGAAGTACTCCTGCGTGGATGGTGAAGTAATCAACACCTTGTTC